TACATATACATACAATGTTCCACCACCGGAGTTAGAACCCATTATGACCTACCAATACCACCGGAGCTAGAACCCATTATGACCTACCAATACCAATTTTTTTTTTACAAATCCGTGGAAAAATGTGACAAAAGTCATCAAAATACCGACTATCGGGAGGTACCGTTATGTGGCGACTATACCAAAACGTGGACTGATATATCTCATTTTCAATAACAACCATCCTAGACACAATACAAATTGTTGTACCAAATTTTGAAGCTCAACGTCAAATAATTTGCGCTGTATCGTGATTTCAACAGGCAGATCATGAATATAATACTTTATGGGTTCTACGACGAATATTTAGGGATGTTACAAACGGAGTGAGAAAGTTAATATACCCTAATTTTCAAGGTAGAGGGTATACAAATATTCTTTATTTTTCCAGGACGACACCAACGAAAACTTTTTGATGAAATAAGAAGTGGAAGTTTTTAAAAACAGTTGTAATAAACAATCAGAAATGGTAAAGAAATCACAAAAGTCCTAGAACGCTGCAACGTATTTGGATATTTCATATACTTACTTCGAGTTCGAATTCGGTCATATGTGCCAAAAAAGATCTTGTCAAATTACATCAATTTTCCATAGGATTTTTTCTTGGGCTATACAATGGTTTCTAATGACTACAAACCAACGATACCAAACTGTAGATCATTCAGCGGAAAACTGTAAGTAAAATCTTCAAGATACGAATAATTGGGAGCGGTCGTTCCATGATAGCGTGAATGTTCTCTGCCTTAGTGTCGTTACCTCAATATAAGGTTATTTTCCTAATGTGAGATGAAACAGTGTAGTTTTTGTATATTATGTTTTTCATGCAATGAGGACCCAAATTCGAAATACTTTCTGCCATGGAACAATAAAAATTAAGATAGAGCTACCAGCTGATTACAATTTTTTTCTAAGTGTGCCCGCCAGATTATATATAGCTCCCATATATCTTCAACCGATTTTGGTTTAATTGTGCACCAATTGGCCAATATCAGTCCAAAACTCCTGAATTTTGGTACATCCGACCAAATTCAATCTATAAGTAAGCACATCGAATTCGGAGAAAATCGGTTCAGATATACCTGTAGCTCCCACATAATCATTCCCTTTGGGGGTTTAAGTCCCTCACATGCGTAATATGCACTCCCGAAGTCAACTTAAACTGCTCTAAAGCCAAATGTTGATAGGTATTATGATCTATTTGAAATAAATTCTTTTGTTACGGGAGCTCTACTAAATATGCATAGTGGTGTAGGGCATCATATAGTCGACTCCGCCCAACTTTTGACTTTTCCTTACTGGTTTTTGTTTGTCACATTGCTAATTAAGAAGACTCCTTTCTTGCTGTCTAAAAATTCACTTTCGTCGTCCACGAAGAGTCTTTTCTGGTCAGCTGTGGAAAGTCCCTTTGATCATTTGTTAAAGAATAGGATCCTTTTGCTTTTGGAGATGATCGCATAATATTTAAGGGTTGAAATGCACCAAAAACTGAACAATTTCCAGATTTTGCAGTTGATGTACAGGTCGCAATTATGGACCAATCGAACCGAAAGTGAGCAAGTGGCTAGAGCTTAAGGCTGGATAGAAGCCTTCCAATTTTGATGGTCATCGGGTAATATTTAGTGCGAGAAATAGACCATAACATTTGTGTTAAATACAAGTCAAATTTTACATTAAACCGCGAATATTTTTATTCCCGGCAAAATCACAAATAGACGAACAGGTCAATTCTGACCGTTACATAGATGCTGATAGTAAACATATCGGATATATATGGCGAAATATATACAATGTGTATATACAAAGGAAGGCGATGTTAACTAAAATGCTTATATCTCAAGAATGGCTGGACCGATTTTGACAAATTTTGTCAATTCAGAATCCCCTCTTGGCATAAAAGTATAACATGTAAAAAATCGCATTAAATGATGCCAATAATGATGTTAATATAGATGTTGTAGTATTTTGTGACATCTGTTTTATTTTTTCATATTTTTTATCGCATTCGATTTTTATACCCTCCACCTTGGAAAGGAGGATATATTAACTTTGTCATTCCGTTTGTAACATCCTTAAATATTCGTCGTAGACCCCATAAAATATATATTCATAATCAGCATAAAATTCTAAGTCGATTTAATGATGTCCGTCTGTCTGTTGAAATCACGATACAGCCCACATTAATTGACGTAAAGCGCCAAAATTTAGCAGAGCAATTTGTTTTGTGTCTAGGATGGTTGGTATTGAAAATGAGATATATCGATCCACGTTCTGGTATAGTCCCCATATAACGGTACCTCCCGATATTCGGTATTTTGATTATTTTTGCCACATTTTTTCACGGATTTGTCTGAAAATTGGTAATTGTGGGTTATAATGGGTCCTAGTTCGTGAGACGAAATATTGTATGTATAGGTCCACGTTTTGGTATAGTCCCCAAATAACGGTACCTCCCAAGATTCGGTATTTTGATGTTTTTGACACATTTTTTTACGAATTTCTCTGAAAATTGGTAGTTGTAGATCATAATGGGTCCCAGTTCGTGTGGCGAGTCATTCTAATTATAGGTCCACGTTTTGGTATAGCCCCAATATAACGGTACCTCCCGATATTCGGAAATTTGATGATTTTTGCCACATTTTTTCACGTATTTGTCTGAAAATTGGTATTTGTAGGTCATAATGGGTTCTAGCTCCGTTGGCGAAACATTGCATATGTAGGTCCACGATTTGGTATAGCCCCCATATAACGATACCTCCCGATATTCGGCATTTTAATGATTTTTGCCACGTTTCTTCTAATGTTTCCTGTACCCTAAGGTGGAGGGTATTAAAAGTTTGGCCCGTCCGAACTTAATGTTTTTTTTTCTTGTTTCAATTTGACTTATAATAATGAAGTGTACATTTTGTAATATTTTTTCACCTTACAACACAGGTTGGGGTTATTATATACATATTGCAATTATCGTCCGATAGGCTCTGAGCTAGGCCTATTGTTTTCAAATATATCCGAAATATATTTAGTGGTTGAAATGGACCAACAACTAAATATGTTCCTGATTTTGCAGCCGTTATAAAGGTCACAAATAGAAACCAAAGGACACGAAATCTCGCATGAAGTTAGGGTTTAGCACAGAGTTTCAAAAGCGAAATCTTCCATTTTAGTGTTGTAGGGTATCACATGGTCGGCCCCGCACGACTATAACCTTTGCTTACTTGTTCGGTTATGTAAAGGGTAGCTACTGAATTTTCTCTGTAGAATTCGGCACAGATTGCATTTTGATTGCCCTTGGAGGATATCTTATAAGGTAGTTTAATTAGTGACACTAAAACTAGAAATATTTCGTATCAAGTACAAGGTGAGGTGTGGTAAAATGTGGCAGTGAGAAAACTAGAAACAATTAACTTTTCTGATAAGAAAGATAGGAATATAAGTACTATTTTCTCAGGTTCCCTGAAATGCTCTATTGATTTTCATGTATAAAAATTCCTTTCTGCCATATTTTGGTCGCCTGTAATATATCTAGGTAGTCTATAACTACTGATTTCATTTATATTTATAAGTACTCTACTGACTGTAGTGTGTATGTTCCGTTCTACCTCCTTGGTTTGGTTCATATGCAATCCCTTGGATCTTTTATGAAGAACTTGCTTTCAAAATATTCCCGTGTTTAAGTTTTAAATGTCTTCTCATGACCTTCCAATGCAATTCAAGTCCGGTCTTTTTAAGAGACCCACTAATTGACTTGTCGCCCCCTCTTAGTGGTACATACCAAGTATCTTCTGGTTGTGACTCAGACTAAACTACTGAAAACCAAAACCTGTTGTTTAAAAATTCCTAAACATTAGCTATGTCACATCATTCAACCCCCTTTCCCCATCCCTCAAAAAAGATCAAAAGGAATTTTGTTTGTTTGCTAACTTTCAGTCTATAATTCTACGAAAAAAAGGTTATCCTTAGAGTAACACATTTGTTTTCTTTGTGTGTATTTTTAGGGGGTTGGGGTGGGTGGTGTGGGTTTTTATTTGACTTGAAATGGCAACAGATACACTTTTGTAACTGTTACTGGTGGAGCTGATGTTGCCTGCTGCAGCTGTGGTTATGGTACTGGTGCTGATGGCAGTCTACAACTTTGGGGCACTGCTGTGCGTAAAACTCGGTCGTTGGGTCGTCGAAATCTTCGCCGCTGTGTGCGTATGTGTGTAAATTGTGTATGTATAACAAGTTGTGGCGGGAAAATCGATAGCAACCCCACACACACATACACGGTCGTATACAGCCCGAGGATAAAATAAGGACTAAATCTTATTTACAACCCCCCCGCCCTTGGACCCCGCTCCGAGTTATACAAAGGAAAAAAGTTAAAGCACAAGTTTTCAGCAGGTATGTATGTGTGTTGTTTTTCATGTTAAGGCTTTAAGTTGTTGTCTTCCTATCTTGTTTTCCTTTTTGTTTTCTTGGCGGGTAGAACGTCTACTTCGCCGTTGTCGTCGTCGTCGTCGATGTCGGGTTAGTATAATTGTTGAATGTAACTAATCAAGGAGGTATGATTTCATGGTGAATTTTTTTCCCTTTTTGTCAGAGTGGGTCTTGTCTTCGTCTTCATTACAACTCACGCAAATACCAAAATTATTATATTGTTCGCATTATTGTTTTTGTTGTTTTGTTGTTGCTGGACAGTCATGGGGCCAAAATGTGTTGCTGTATTGTGGGGGAGTTGTTGAGTGGTTGGAGTTGGGGTGTGGGGTGTTGCTGATAGTCGAATTATTTATTGTTAGGACACACTTTTCTTTATGGCCATTTGGTGTGGTTTTCCTAACAAATTATGGAAAACTTTATGAGCAAATTTTTGTTAGTTTTTTCTTTGTGTTGTTGGTGTAGATATTTGAGTCTTTTGTAGGTGTTTCCGTTTTAGGATTTTGTTTTTCGTAAAAAAAAAATATTCATGTTCCACTTTCATTCACCTGGTTTTTTAGATGATACTTCGTTGTTATTTTTCCTGCGGTGGTGGTGGTGGTGGTGGTTGTGGAGGTCCTGTTGGTGCGGGGGGGAAATTACAAATCCTAGATATACACTTTTAGATTATTTTTATATAACTTTCATTCACTGCTACATAATCTGCATTTTTCATTTTAGATTTATTTGATTTGCTTATTTCCAAATATATTTATGGATTTTTCTTTTAGAAAATTCACTATTTCCACAGATTTGCTTACACACAAATTTTTAAAATCTGTTTGTCCCGAGCAATGCTCCCTTTTCTTCTTTGTAAAAAAAGAAATTTTCTTTTGTAGTTGTAATATTCCGAATTCCTTCAGTTGTGCCTGCTACAGTTCGAAATTACAACACGCGCGTACAACCGTTGACAACGAACTGAGAGTTCTGAAATAACGACACAGCCGTGTCATATTGAAAGCTGTCCTGTTGTGTGTAAAAGCTTTGTGTGAGAGACTTGAAAGCCACATATATATTATGGCAGAGGATACTGTTAAAATGAAAAAAATGCAGTTTTACAATAAGGGTAGTGTTTCCGCTTTGGTTTTTATTTTAAGACCCAATGCCATAGGATTTGGAACAAAATAAAGTTTGCCGTCAACAATATTTAGATGCCGTTACTATCATATAACACTGTGCGATAAAATAAAAAAATTTCAAAAATTACAGGAAAAATTCAACAGATTACGAAAGTAGAGTTAACAAGTTAAAAAATAGTAAGTTAGGCCGGGCCGAACTTTGAATACCCTCCACCATTGGGAACAAATTTGGAAATTTTCAAAAAATAAAATCCTTAAAAAATTCTGTTGAAATTTTAAAAATACCGAATATAGCCCTTATATTGGGGTCTATACGACGTGAAACTACATAGGCATTCGTTGTCATAAGCCATATTTAAATTCGAAACTTGAAATAAACGTTGAAGCTAAAATCATCAAAATATGGTATATAGGGAGGTACCGTGCGAAGACCTGGACCAGCATAGACAATTTTCTGTCACAGGCTGTAGCATCCAATGCGAACTTCAAATATGACAACTCAAACAATTTCGGTGGGTATTGTACCTAAAATCGTCAAAATACCGAATATAGGGAAGTACTGATGTATGAGGTCTAGACAATTTTATGTAACTGACTGTAGTTCCCATTACGAACTCTAAATATGTAATTTGAAACAATTCTGGTGAATAATGACGCTAAAATTATCAAAATACCGAATATTGGGAGGTACAGTTATAGGGGGGCTATACGAAGACGTGGACCTGCACAAACAATTTTCTGTCTTAGGCTGTAGTTTTCATTACGAACTTCAAATACCAAATTTGAAACAATTCCGTGAAATAATATCGCTAAAATCATCAAAATACCAAATATCGGGAGGTACCGTTATATGGGGGCTATATGAAAACGTGGACCTACATGGCACATTTACGAACTTAACTGTCATCTTCTAACTTCTTAACTGTCTACTGGAAAAATAAACATATGTGCAAAATTCTAGCCTTCTATCTCAATTCGTTCGAAATATAGCGTGATTACAACAGACGAACCCTATCGAAAGTGGTGAAAATCGGAACAGATTTAAATATAGCTACCATATATCTTCAACCGATTTCGGGTTAATTGTGCACCAATTGTATGTTGATACATCCCACTGAACTGAGTTTAGAAACAAATAAATCAAATTTGGAGAAAATCGGTTCAGATGTTTCATCTGATTCGGGGTTTTAAGCCCCTCACATGCGTAATATGCACTCCAGAAGAATAATATTTGGTACGGACATCATATACTGCTCGAAAAAAAATCTGTCAAATTTTATCATGATCGGTCCAGATTAGGTTTATTGTGCACCAAATGGATAATATAAGCCCAAATGGACTGCATTTTGGCAAGTCCGACAGAATTCATCCTATAAACCAGGGGCTTGATTCTTGTTCTATGAAAATATGAAATAAAGAAAATTTCCTTTATAAAATTTCTCATTTGACATTTCTTCTCTTTATAAAAGTTTTCATTTCACATTTTCATAGAACAAGAATTGAGGCCCAGTACTTCAAATTTGTAAATCGGTTCAAATTTAGATATAGCTCTAATATATATCTTCAACCGGTTTTGGGTTAATTGTGCACCAAATGGCCAATTTCAGTACAAATTTTGGCACATCCGACCGAATTTAGTCTAGAAGCAAGTACATCAAATTTGGTGAAAATCGGTTGAGATATAGCTATTGCTCATATATATATGCTTCATACGATTTGGTGTTTAAATCCCTCACATTCGTAATATGTACTGCACAAGAATGATATTTGGTACCAGATTTCAGATACAGCCAGAAATACTTTTGCCAAATTTTATCAAGATTGGTTCAGATTTGGATATAGCTCCCATGCATATCTTCAACCGATTTCGGGTTAATTAAGCACCAGATGACTAAAATCAGTCGAAATGACCTGCATTTTGGCACATCAGACCGAATTCAGTCCAGAAGCAATCTGATTTGGTCTTTAAGTCCCTCATATTCGTAATATGCACTCGACAAAAATGATATTTGGTAACAGATATCTTATAGAGCTCCGAAATACCTTTGCCAAATTTTATAGACATGGGCTCAGATTTGGATATAGCTCCCATTTATATCCTTAATCCGATTTCAGGTTTATTGTGCAAACAATGGCTGATATCAGCCCAATTGGAGTGACTTTCGGGACGAACGTTTCCATTTGGTGGAACTCGGCTGCTATATATATTTATACCCTACACCACAAAGTGGTCAGGGTATTATGTCTTTGTGCATTTGTTTGTAACAGGCAAAAGGAGACGAGATAGACCCAAAGTTCCTTTTATGATCTGCATAGAATCACATTCTGAGTCGATTTATGCATGTCCGTCCGTCCGTCCGTCTGTCTGTCCGTCTGTCCATGTATTTTTGTAAACAAAGTACAGTTCGCATTTATTGCCCTATCCAGATGAAAGTTTTCACAGATCATTTGTTTGGCCCAAGGACGAACCCTATTGAAAGTGGTGAAAATCGGTCAAAACTTAGATATAGCTCCCATATATATCTTCGTCCGATTTGTCTTTTATTGTGCACCAAACGTGTAATATCAGCCCGAATAGTATGGAATTTTACACATACAACCAAATTAGGCCTAAAAATAAGTATGCCAAATTTGATCGTGGTTCAGATATAGCTATAGCTCCCATATATATTGTTCATCCGATTTGTTATTTTTGTCCTCCGCAGCCGTAATATGCACTCTGTAACAACAATATTTGGGGAAATATAGCAAATACAGCTCAGAAATGCATTTGCTAAATTTTATCGAGATCGGTTCAGATTTGGATATAGCTCCCATATATAACTTCGTCCGGCTTACTTTTTATTGTGCGCCAAACGTCTAATATTCGTCCAAATGGGATGGAATTTGGCACTTACGAACGAATTGAGTCTAGAAGCTAGTATGTCAAATTTGGTGAAATTCGGTTCAGATATAGCTATAGCTCCCATATATATTGTTCATTGTTATATATGTTACCCACAATCGTAATATGCACTCCGTAACATCGATATTCAGGGAAATATATCAAATACAGCTCAGATATATCTTTGCCAAATTTAATCGAGATCGGTTCAGATATAGCTCCCATATATATATTTATCCGATTTCAAATTTCAAATGTGCACCAAATGGGCAATACAAGTCCGAATTTAAAAGATACAAATGCTTCGGCATATTTAGTCCTTTGAATTTTAAATTATAATTATAATCATAGCGTGTATGACCGCCCGACTTTAAGACTTTCTTTACTGGTTTTTAATATAACCTTTCTCGAAGTGATATCATGCATTCTATAAAAATCCTATTTGGTATAAGAATGTCTACCTCAAATTTAGTAAAAATCAATTCGATATAAGTTCCCTCTGAAACAAAATTATAACTGCTCTAAAGCCAAAGATTAATAAGTGGTATGATCTACTTAAAATACTTCAAATAAATTTTTTTGTTGCAGGAGTTCTACTAAAAATGCATACTAGGGTATCAACAAACCGAATTCAATCAAATTTTCCAAAACACTGACTGGCAATTAGACAGTAATATTACAAAAAAAAATTTGCGGCGAATTCGAAAGAAAACGGAAATTTATACTTTTTATGGTACTTATCAAGTTTGTACATTTCTTTTGTTCCGAGACTTACATTAAAAAATGAACTGCAATATTTTAAATTTGAATGGTATTTCTGTTGCTATTATAGGGATTCGAGGTAGAAACACATCTGAAGCTACATACTTCCACATAATTAAAGTAGACTCATTTAAATTGTTGTGTTAGCCTTGCACCATTACAAAGGCATGGTGGATCTATGTTTCTTAATAATGTCCAAATCTAAACCGGTTTCATTATAAAATGACTAAACATATTTTTAGACCAATTCCGTCACTCATTCCAATTTTCATTGAAATTGGAGATATATAGCGCGTTTAGTCATCAAGTACCCAAAATCGGCCGAAAAGTTTATATAGGAACTATATCCAAATCTGAATCGATTTTAATATAAAATATTCCAAATTTCATTGAAATTGTGGAAACATAGCTTGTTTGATGCTACAAATTATATAACCTAATTTCAATAAAATTTGGCAAATATTTTTATGGACCAATTCCGATACATATTCCAAATGTAATTGCAAACAGTGAGTTTGGTGCATCAAATACATGAATTTGGCCGAATATATGCATATAGGAGCTACATCCAAATCTGAACACATTTCACTATAATTTGTCAATTTTTTTTTTATACCAAATTCCGTTACACACTCTAAATTTAAATACTGTGTATATCTGATGCTAAATCTCCAGTTCCAAGTGGAATTTAAAAAATGTAAATAGCCTATATTACTTTCAGGGGGTACTATAGTATGTGCGGAACTTTGAAGGAACATTCAAATGTACAAACATTTTCCTCTTTTATATGAATAGAAGAATATGTGTCAATTGACAAAAATACACTAATATCATAAGCGCCATCTAGGCAACGCCCCGCGTTTGAAAAGCTCGTTATAAACTTCCATAACTGCATTACCATATTAGGAAATAGCCAGTTAGTAGTATTTGAATTTAAACATATTGTTGATAAGCAAGTTAAAAATGATAGAGCAGTTTAGTCTGTTTGTCAACTGGTGTTCAGCGCCATCTAGAAACGCTGATTATACCTTTATAATTGTATGGAACTGCATTACCATCCTTGTGAGAACAGTTTTCAACGGTGTATGTCTTTACTTTTCTAAATTGGAATTCCAACATTGTCCCTTTTCTAATAAGGATTGTGTCTTTGGTGAAAACCAAATATTATCGGTAGCAGAGTATTTCATATT